CCCATATAAGCTGTTTCTTTCCCCACTCGCGTGTCTTTACCCTCGAAGGGGGTCACTGCAAGAAGTCCAACATGATTCGGCAATTTCCAAAAACCCTCTTCCCGGACCCAAACCGGCGTCTGGAGAAATTACCAAATATTCGCACCTTCGCCATGCGCGGTGCCTGGAATGTAATGCGCAATTATCAACACTGGAAGACAATCGAAGATGCTCTCCCGAACGTCGAGGAGTGGCATTGTGGCTACGCGAAACCTCGTGCCGAAGCGGATGCCACGATCAATGACATCCTCACATACCTCCCCTCTAGACTTCGGCATGTGAATATATCTCTCGATGGAATGTACAGCAAAGATCCCACAACACTCGGCTCGAGTTTCGTCCCCGGGTCGGGAGGCCTACAGACGCATCTCTGTGACCACTTGGGTCGGGTCTTGCCGCAACTCGAATCCCTCTCCTTTACGGGAAAGATCTGCGAGTGTCTGTGGACGAGTGCATTCTCGGCCCTCTCGTCGCAAGTAGGGAAAGCAGAGGAACCCAGGCTCAAACATCTCGAAATCGTGGTAAAATCATGTTGCCGCCAACGAGTCACCGAAACCGACCCCTACACGGGAGAAACAGTCACCCATGAACTAGGAGGAATCATCGCCGATGGCGCTGGAATCACGAATCTCGTCTTTATAAAGGCCTTTGAACGTCTTGTCCTCAAGACTGTTGAAGCCCTGCCTCTCTTCCCGAATCTAGAGTACGTGAGAATCAGATTCATTGATTTGGATTCTCCCTGTACGTTGTTAAATCCGTATTGGCTGTTGGAAAGGGGCAGGGTGTATGGCATTTGGAACGAGGAGATCGTGGAGCGGTTGGGCGAGTTGATGCCTGACATCGGGTACGTCGAGTTGGGCGAGGGGATTGAGTGTGCAGGGAGCTACCACAAGCGATCGTCTTCCGGGTCGAGCTCTTCCAATCCTCCCTCGACTGGCATCGGTGGCCCGTCCCCTGCCGATGGCGGCCTTGGATCCGCAACGTCTTCGACAGGAGGTATTGGAGTCGGATCAAGTTGCAGCCTTTATCCGAAGTGGAAGCCGCGGAGTATCAAAACGAGTAGCTACAAGATCATCGCTGAGGCGAGGGGCAGTTGAACTGTATGTTTGAGCGGTTTCATATGCCGAAACACAGGACTTCTCTGAAACCCAAATGGTCTTTCAGCCAGCGACATTGAAAGCATTGCATGGGCGTTGACGAGAATGGGTCCTTTGCATGGTCATTTATTGTCGATCACGAGGTCTAATTTTGTATATCTTGAACGAACGGCCGGCCAGCACGACACTGATGGATGCATGGCATGGCATGGCGTGGCATGGCATGAGAGCAAGGAAAGGAAAGGAGCCGTGCGTGTTATGTATTGATGTGACGAGGAAATTTGCAATGTCAGAAGCGACAGGACAGGGGCCAGGCGCGCAAAAGTTTATTGAATGTGTTTGGAGTGTTGACTTAGTATTTTCTGTGCCATTTTCTCCCCAGTTTTGCCAATCAATGTCTTTTCTGTTTCCGCTTCGTCGCGATGTGTTGTGATATGTGGCGTCGCATCGCGCCCTGCTGTACCATGTCGCGTCGCGGTGCGGTGCGGCAATGTGCGGTGCGTTTAATGTCCACCGCTCCATGGGCTGAGGGTCAAATCCCAGATTGACCGGAAAGGGAAAAGTGAGGAAATGTGCCGAGTATGTATGTATGGGAAGCATGCGGAATATGATCGTCAAAACGAAAAGTTCACCTCTGGTTTTTATCCTGGCACTTCATACTTGAACGATTCTTTATGTGTCTCTGATGACCGTCAAGACCAGTAGAGTCCCTGGATATCTCAGAGCGAACGGTGATATGGTCCACCCGGTCAACATAACCTAAATGCTCACATGATTATTGACTCAATTGCTTTTCAGCACCCGATCCCTCGGCCCCAAATGTACGTTGGCAATACTGCTCGTGTCAATACTCGAATTCCCACGTCGCTTGCCGCGGACTGGCCTCGCCTTAAGCTCAGAGACGCTCGCGGTTGACCCTCCTTCGGAGGCCGTTGTCGATGAGGATGCGAGTTTGCCCCCTGCTTTCAGACTGGCGGCCATCTTCGAGTCCATAGACTTGTCAACAACATCACCCACCACAATCCCCAATATCCAGCAGTTAATCGCAAAGAAAGCCAGACTTGCTGCAAAAAGGCCGGGTACGAAGGTACTCTTCCCCAAAAACTCAAGTTGATAGCCTTGCTGCAGCCACACCGCTTGCCCGAGGACCCAGAGCACCAATGCCGTTACTCCCAGTGAGGGCCTCGCGAGTAGTGGCGAATTGGGCAGGTAGAGTGGTAGAAAGACGAGATACCAGAGAAAGTACTGTGAAGTGCAGACTTTATTGAAAGTCACGAAAGCAAGGGTTTGGGCTAGCATTGTGGTTGGAAGATCGCGCTTAGCCAGGCCGATGGGGATCAGAATTGTGGAGAGAAGGAGCTGAGGGATGAAAGCGAGAGACTCGAAAGAGATGGATGATCGCAGATTCGCATACGTCGGGTTTGCTGCCTGCGCTGAGGAGAGGTATAAGAGGGTATTGTATGGGGAGAAATTGTGCCGATGATCGATTCGAGTCAGGTGATGGAAAAACGTGTGTTGGAGGAATGGGAAGCCGTAAGTATTGTACATGAGGAAGTTGAGAGCTGCAAAGGTTGATATCGAGGTCAAGAGCAGCAGAAAGCGGCTCCTGTTGATGAATTGAAGGGCGACTTGCAGCATCGTTGCCGCCGACGGTTTTGAGGAAGGCGTCTCCAGCGCCCACAGCATGCTCGCTCCGTAAATGAAAGGGTATATCTTGAAATGAACACATAGTCCGAGCAGCAGTCCTGACAAAATGACTTTCTTGGTCTCAAAGGCCCAGAGAAGGGACATGACCAGAACGCAGAGGAGACCTTCACTACTTCCGCGTGTACTGATGTTCGCAACCATCGGATTCAAAAGCCACACGGCGGCATATTTCAGAGCCCGTTGCTCTTCCAAGCGCTGCCTCTTCAAAAGCCTGAGAATGAGCCATCCCGCAATCAAATCAGACAGAGCAAACAGCGCCTTGCCGAAATGAAACCACAGTCCTCCCCAGCTGGTAGGTAGCAGAATCCATGCTAGAAGGGGAGTGTATCGGTATGTGGCACGATCATAGGGAGACGAATGCCTGGATACGGCTCGCGCAGCGTCTGTGAAGACATAGTAATCGATGTCTGTGTATTTCAGGGCGGAAACCGAGTCCTGATATATGCCATAGACGAGGAGGGCGGCACGAAGGAGGAAGGCTGAGATGAAGACAAAGGTGCGGGATGAGAGGAGGGATTTGAGGGGTGAAGCCATGAGGGTCGCAGCATGCCTCGAGCTGCTCCCTGAGCGCGAGGCAGGATCCGAGTCAGGTTTTCGTTTGCCGGAGTGAGTCGCAAGCTGTTTGAACGGCTGGCTGACGGTTCAGTCAATGCGATTTTGAAGCGCAATTTGATGTCCGCTGGGGGAACTGTTTAAGGCTCGGCGGGCAGCTGCATTAGTGCCTAGAGGTTGGAGGAGGAGAACTGCTTTATATCAGGCCTGGGCTGGTGGACTTAAACACAGCTCCAACATCCGACGAGAACCAATTATAAATATCAATATTCACAGGGAGACCGGCTGTCGAAAAGTGACTTGACGACACGAAACCCTCAAATACCCTGTTCACCCTTGTTCAGCCTTGTTGCTCTTAAAGCAGCGAGAGAAATTGGCAACTTCCATCGACACCCATCAACGACATTGGCATTTTGTCTCTCTTCTTTAGCAGGTGTGTATCACCCTTGGCCTTCACAGCCTCAAAGATTCATCATGGCAGGAATAAAGAGAAAGCGCGACGAGGGGATGGCTGAGGATAAAACCTCCTCTCCTGAAACCAAGTCGCCGTTCCTCTCAATATTTGAAGGTTTCCAGGCCCAACTCGACGAGCATCACGACCGGAGAGAAAGAATCATCAAAGTGTCAAGGGATGTGACTGCTCAGAGTAAGAAGATGTGAGTTTGGTGTCGCTGTGTTGAATTGTTGTACCTCCTTCTGACGGAGTGTCGATAGCATATTCGCGTTACAAAGGTGAGATCGCAATATTCTCGCAAAGGTAACAACGGCCAGATCAGCTCATAATCATGACCTGCAGAGTTCGTGAACTAGGCAAACCCATACATCAGTCAATTTCCAAGCAAACGACGCCCATGTACACCACGATCCGCGACCTGCTGCAGAGCATTGTTCCGGACTTACGAGGCATCAACGCGTATCGCTACCGCAGCAACATTACTGGCGGCATCCAGGAGTTCATGGAAGCAGTCATTTTCCAACATTACCTGGAGAATCAACAGATCATGAAATTCGAGGACGCACAGGCACAGCTTCCAGAAGGTATCTCACTCACTTATGATGACTATGCGCTCGGCTTGTTCGACATGACGGGCGAACTGATGCGGTTCGCCATTACATATATGGCCACAAATGGGCAGTTGCCTGGAGGATCAAGAGAGGCAGAATCGTCTCCAAATTCCTCGATCTTGACGGATATGCAGGGTCTGCGTGCGGCGTTTGAAGGGCTAGATGCGGGTAAAGCCAACAGCCTCTCGAAGGATTTTGAGAATAAGCTCAAGACGACGAGGCAGTCCGTGGAGAAGGTCGAGAACGGGGTGTACCAGATGATTGTAAGAGGCAAGGAGAGGCCTAAGGGTTGGAAACCGGATACGTCGTCAGATGATACAGGACGGGGGAGTGGAGAAGCAGTTGAGAGCTATTGAAAAGGGAGCGTCCATTCCCAGATGGCAGAATATGTCTCTGGGTGTCTGCTCAAATGCTGGGCTATCTGAAGAGCTACTGAAGCATTTGTGACTCGATCCTCCACCGGCTTATGTCCATGATACCCACCACTTTGTATATCAGAATCATGTACATGCTGTGTACCGCAGTCCTCCAGATTTTTCTTCATGGCTTGGTTGGGTCTTCGTCCGCCTCCAAGATGCCATCCTTCACCAGCTGTTCTGGCTTGGGCCGCTGCTGAATCTTATGCTCAAGACTATCGGCTCGCATGTGCCTATCCAAGGCTCTCTGGTTGGCTTGCAGGGCGGGGGCGGCGTTTGAATCGGGGAGGATGTTGCCTATTGGCATGTAAGAACGGATTCAGCATAGCAGAATGGATTCACTCCTACGCTCGACCAATTCCTCACGGTCCGGTCGCTTCTCGAGCTGCTTCCTCAGGTTGTCTGAGTGCTGCTGGCGCTCGAGTTCGTGCTGTTTCGCTTGTAGGGCCCTATACACAGGGTAAGGCACTGCGCGTTGCCTTGAAATGCGCTGGTCTGGGGACTCACGGGGCAGCATTGCTGTTCAGGAGGATGTTGCGATTTTTCAGATCTTGGACATCGGGGCGCTGCTGCAAGTGTTTCTCTAGAGAATTCCGGCGCTCAATGGGGGAAATGGGGCTTTCGTCAACCTTGAGGTCAGGCGTGTTATCGTCGTTCAACGCGTTAGACATTGTGATAAGTGTCGGCTTTCTCGATTGCTTTCAGGTAGAGTATGGAAGGAAGGTCTAAGGACAGGTGAGAACAGTCTGACTGACGTCGCACCCCCCTTTGTCCTCTGCGATTGGACCCTGTTTTCAGCTGTGGCAATGACAACGGCAAAGCTGGGCCTGGGGTTTGCCCTGCTGATCCCGCCGACTTCCATGTGCCACTGGCTGCCCCGCGCTGGCACCTGCAACCAGCAGAGCCCCTCCTCAGATTCATTTGGGCGGGGATGAAGGCTACTAGGCTGCTAGGCCACGCCCCCCAGCCTCACCGAGCTCTCCAGGCCCCATTACCGGCGGGATGAACCTAATAGGCACCGATGCCACTAACGCACTTGGCGTGCCACCTTCTCCTCAGGCGCCAAAGTCAAAACGTGTCGCGTCATAAATTGTTCCTGCGCCTCCAAGTCCCGTAAATAATTGCTTTGGGGTTGTATCTTCTGCCCGTTAGTATGTTCCCTTTGGGACCCCTTCTTACGATGCTGTCACAATGTGGATTCTTGATACCAATGCCGACTTCTTTCAAGGAAGGCGGATGTGGCTCAGGCCTGGGCAGCGATACTTGTTTGGCCGAGTTAAGAAAGATGGCGTTATGATCGCTGTTGACCACAGAACTGTCTCCAGACAACACTTCAATATCACCGTCGAGCCTGTCAAGGACGGAGATGTCGGACAAATCCACACCCGAACGAAGATCTGGACTGAGGATCACTCAAAGACTGGAACGTTTGTGAACGGCGAGCTGATCAAGAAGAAGGACCCAAAGAACGAGCAAGAACCGAACCCTTCGCGAGAACTGAGCGGCCCTGAAAACTCTATTCGGCCAGGAAGCTGTCCTTATGAATTCACCGTCACCTGGCAGCCCTGCGTTTTCACCTTCAACCTACTCAAGAAAGAGATCAAGTCAGGAGTTCTCAAGGCAAAGCAGACAAGAGTACAAAATCTAGACATCAAGGCTATCAGTGATTTTTCTTATGAACATACGACTCATGTGGTTGCCAACAAGAGAAATACTGCAAAAGGTCTGTTGGCCTTGGTCAACGCCAAATACCTTGTGACAGAGTCGTATCTCGATGCCCTGGACTACGCTGCTACTCCTATCACCCTCAGCCAAGAGGTGAATCTATCTCCGCTAGAAAGCGACTTCGACAGCGCTTGGCCTCATCCCAAAGACCACCTCCCTCCTCCAGGAAAAGAACCCACCATCAGACCTGCCCAGTCATATCAACCGAATCCCGCACGAATCAACGTATTTGAACATTATACCTTTGTCTTCGGTGAACAGAATCAGTATGATACTCTGCTACCGGTGATAACGAGCGGTCATGGGAAGGCGATGCTATTCAGGGTGGTGAACTACGAGACCACAAGCGACGAACTGATCCAGTTCATTGCAAATGCAGCTGGAAATAAAGGCAGTGTTCAAAATGGACCAAAAGGTGGAGTGATTTTGGTTCGGTGGCCGGGAAAAGAGGCCGCTCAAGAATGGACAAATACACTTATCAATGAGGCTGCGTTGAAGATGGATCAGCGGGCAATTGATCAGTCCGAGTTTTTGGATGCTATACTGGCCAATGATGCTGCAACCCTCAAACAGCCTATCCCATTTGAGAGCACAAACGAGGGGATAATTGCGCCTCCTCCATCGGCAGCAAACTCCCTTGCCACGGTGCAGCCCCATGAGGTTCGTATAAATGGCGACTCGTCGCCCAATACAGCAGCTAATGGAAGCTTTGAAGCTGCGCATTCAACGAGGGCGACAGCCAACGGCGCAGAAGCTTCTCAGCCTTCACAAATCTCAAATCAAAATATTTCAGAGGCTCACGTTGACGCCGAGGGCGCTGCAATGCCACTCCCACTCACCATTCCTAAGGTTTCCCAATTGGCCAAGTTCAAGAATTTTGACGATGGATTTGATCCTGATGCCATCGCTGCTTATGAGGATGATGAGGTAATTGAGGACGAGGTGTACGTCTCCGAGCCGGAAACGCGATCCAAGTCACCCCTCGTCATCAAACAAGAGCCGCCTTCAACACTGAGGAAACGACCTCGCTCTCCACCAGAGGAACGCGCCAATACATTCGCAGATGAGATGGACGATCTCTTCCCTGCAGCGACAGCACTAAAGAGACGGAAGCTGGCAGAGGCGGCTGCCAACGGGCGTATGGATGAATTGGAGGACATTCAATCACGTCCGGTACCGGCGAAAAGGATCAAAAAGGAACGACAAATCGATGTCCGTGAAGCCGCCAGAAAACAACGAGAGGAAAAAGAAGCCGCCGCGCGGAGAGAGGAGGAAGCACTTGAAGCTGGTCTGCCCGACGTGGAGGACAAGGCACCTGCGAATCTTGTCGACGTCGTGACTATTGACCTTCCCGTGCGAGATAATCTGAATAAGACAAGCAGCAGGGTCAATGGTGAACGAGGGTCAGATTGGGATCCCAGATGGAATGGTCGCAAGAACTTCAAGGGGTTCCGTCGCAAGGGCGATCCAGCCCAGCGAAGATCTCACGCCACTAAAGTCATTGTGCAGTTAGTGGAAGTACCGAATAAAACAGGTGGATTGGGTGATCAATATTGGTCGAGGACTGAAGAAGAAAAGGAGCGCGAGAGGGAGAAGCGTCGTAGGGATGACGCGAGAACTCAGCGGACATCGCAGAGTCAGTCGCAGCCGTCGAGTGGGACCGTCCGCGGTCATGTCACAGGGAGCTCGAGAACAAGGATTGTCCTGGATGACGATGACGAAGAAATCAACGATTTGATCAATGTGGCAGAACAGGATGATGAGGAGGCATCGACAGCCAGGCGTCTACGGCGCGGAGCTGTGGAGGTCGCGGAGCATGAGATCGACTCGGACACGCCGAGACGCACCCGGGCTGCTGATCGCGCTCGGCAGGCGAGCGAGAAGGCTTCTGAAACAGAACGAGACGAAACGGCGCAAACACAAAGGGGGAAGAGAGCCGCGAGCTCCATCATGGCAACGAGCAAGCCGAAGCGTCAAAAGACTTTATCCGTGACAACTGTGCGCCACGACGATAGCGAAGACGACGATAGTGATGACATGAAGTTCCGATTTGGAGCGAGAGCGCGCAGGGCAAGAGCGAGAGGGCGAGGAGGCGGGATTGGAAGTTGACACAGTCGGTCAAGCTGATGCTGAAGCAGAAAAGCCTGTGCCGCCCAAAAGAGATCCACTTTATGTACTTGTACATGTATGTCACAACTGGTGCAGTCGAACAATCGGACATTGGAAGGGACAGCTTATCTTTGTCTAGAGCACTATGATATCTGTTGACCGAGACACTGACTATCTTGTGGTAAACTACGCGGTCAACAGTCACCACACTACCGAGCAATAGTTATCACGGTTTTGTTCCGCAAGGCTGCAGCTCCTGAATCTAGTAGCCCTGCGAGCTTGCTAGTTAGCCCACCAGCCCCTACCTACTTGTACGGGGTACTCTGTACATAGGTAATACGGACTAGGGCACCGAGGGATCCTACGCTCTCGACGTCTACCCGCGCCGTACAAATCCTCCGTGCGTAAACCCGAATCGTTTCTCAGGCGGGGCGAGGCATGAACTGGTTGCACACTGGGAAGACAGAGAGAGAGAGAGGGACGAAATAATGGACTTGCTCTGTCCGGGCTGCCCGGGATATCCCGTTTCTAGCTGCTCCGTAATGGCGACGGGAGCATCAGCCTGGCGCTCTAGCTACATATGACTAGCTACTCTGCATTCATGGTTGCGAGCCTGACTTGCTGCGTACATTGGCTAACTTAGTGTGCTGCAACGAGTGGTTCATGTTGCGAAGAGGTCACGTTTGCATTCCCCAACCGCTGCCGCCTGTCTATCCTTGTTGTTGGAATTTATATCTTTGTCTGTACCGCCTAGAGGGGACTTCTACCGCGCGTTCTCACCGCCAGTAACTGGGTCCCCGGCCCTTCAGATACGTCTCCCACGCGTCGTCGAGCACATCAACAACCTCTTGCGGTAGAGGTCCCTTTTGCAGATCCCTCAGGTTACTCTCCAACTGCGCCAGGGAACTGACTCCGATGATGACACCGTCGTTGCCTCCGTCCTTGCTGAACTTCAGCATCGAATGGTGGATTAGCCATCGCAGCGCCGTCTCCACTAGGGTGAGGTTATGTTTCTGGACGACGGGTTCGATCACTTTGAGAGCCTGGAATGTCGAGTCTTGGAAATACCGGTCGCGGTACATCTAAGTAGAGCATTAGAGTCAACTATAGTGAGCTAAAAAATTTTCAGGTGTTCTCAGGAGCCAAATTGTAACTCAGGCAGGGAACATCAGGGACTGCTTCGGCGGCTTTGGGTTCTTTCTGAGCATACCTTTCCTGACCTGGCCACGTCTGCGAAGCGGCCTTCACTAGGCACTTCGCTCTTGGATTTGTATTTGCCGCTGAACACGCCGCCGGCGAGCTACATGCTTGGGTTAGTTCTTTGGACCTTTCAATGCCGGGGTGGTGCGAGGAAATGGGGGAACATACCGGATTGTAAGCAACCAAGTCCAAACCATACCTAAAGATGCCCAGGTCAGCTTGCTAGGCGTTCGAGCGCTCCGAAGTAACCAGTCCTCACTTTCGACAACAAGGAACCAACTCCTTCTCAATATCCCTGGTGATGGCGTTATACATGGCCTGATAAATCGTGGGCTTTACCCAGCCACGCTCATTCGCAATGTTCCAAACCTCCGCGACCTCCCAGGCCGCGAAATTACTCAGTCCCAATTGAACGAATTTGCCTTCTTTGAACATCTCATTGCAACATTGTAAGGTGTCTTTGAACGGCACAGATCTGTCAGGGGCATGGAGGTAAAAGATATCGACGCAGTTCGTCCCCAGTTCCGCCAGACTCTTCTCGAGACTCGCTCTCAACTTCTCGGGTGAATGGTCGCCTGGCTGTGCAGGGTAACATTTGGTGGCGAGAGTCAAGCCGCGGTCTTTCCATTTTGCCTCTCGTGTGAATGCTTCTTGCTGGCCACCGACATATGCCCGCGCCGTGTCTACCTCGCCGTACCCCAGAGATTGGAAGTAGTCGAGGTTCTTGTTGTATTCCTCCAAAGTAGCGACTCGGCTGCCCTTGGACTCGGTTCCAGGGGGGCCAAACGTCATGAGGCCGAGGATTATGCGCGGTTTGTTGCTGTCTATCATGGTGGAAGTGACGAGCGGCATCTTCGAAGTGGTGGATAAGAGGGCGGGGGACGGAGCTGGGGATACGTGACGGGTGAGGGAGGCCAAGCGGGCAGCCGTCTGGGTCGGCAGGGAGGCTTGAGGACGTGTGAGGACTGCGCGAAACATGAAAGGGAAGAGGAGGGGTTTGGTATTTTAAAAGGCCACTTCGTCTTAGAGATAGACAACGTGGAGGCAGTGATTTAAGTCTCTTCTCGACCGCAGTCTGCTGCTCCCCACCATATATGCACATGCACCGCACGGGCATGACGCCATTGTACTTTTTCTCCAACTCTTCTAAACGGGCTCGTGGGGTACATGCAAGATTGGTACATACGGGTACATATTACTACTGCCTTCTGCTGCCTTCTTCCAGAGCGGCTTTGGTGCCAGTTGGTATAATCCTCGTTATAGATGACCCGGCATTCGGATTTATGCAGTTTATGCAGCAGCTCCCTGCCATTTACATATCGAACGAAGGACTGATTAGGGAAACTATGATCCCCCAAATGACCACAAGCAGCCTCCGTCCATGTACACCGCATTCCAGTCACCTCGACAATAACCCCTTCAGCACTGTAGATTATAGTCTTCCTTGATGATCTGCGCACCCTTCTCACCAATCATGAACACCGGACCTTGAAGGTTGACGTCTGGCAGCCGCGGGATGATACTGACATCACACACGCGGAGGTTTTGCACCCCATAGACTCGCAAACGTGAATCTACCACGCCGCCGTCTGCCTCGGGCATCATCTGGCAAGTTCCACTGGCATGCCAGTTCGGAATGGTATTGGCCTTGATGTAGTCGAAGATGGTGTCGTCAGAGGCGTTTGCAGGAACATGCGCAAGTCCGGGCTGGACCTCGCCGTTGTTGGGTCCAATAGTGAACTGTGCAATGGCTGGGTGTGCAAGCAATTTCCTCAGATCCTTGAACGCATTGATGGCCACAGCACGGTCGGTTTCGTTCGAGTAGTAGTTGGGGTCGATGTTGGGCGCATCAAAGATCGACGCCGACTTCAGCGTTACGCTGCCGCGACTGAGCGCCACCAGCGGCGACGCCGTGAGGGAGATGTAAGACAAGTTGGACTGTGGTACATAGTAGGCCGATGAAGAGGTGCCCCCTGTTGAGGAAGTGCCTCCCGACGACGGGAGGAATGCCAGTCCGCTGGGGTAAAAGAGTGATTCGTACAAGAACTCGACATGTGACTGGTTGACAAGTCCGGCATCGAGCACCGCTTGCGCCCCTATGGCTCGTAGAGTGGCATTGGACAATTGCTGAAAACCATTGGTGATGCCAGAGGGAGCGGTGTACGGCCCAGTCATGGAATCGAGAAACTGTTGTCGAGCTGCTTCTAGAGTGGAAGCACTGACTGACATTGAACTCGTCGATGCTGTCTGGTCGACCAAGGCCATGATGCTGAAGACGCTGTGATCATTCAAGCTGTGAAGAATTAGAGCGGCATGCACAGAGAGGGCTCAGGCACTCACTTCTGGCCGACATTTTCGTTGATGTACACTGGATTGATGCCATTTTGACTCAACTGTGCCTGAGGTCCGATTCCCTGGGGAAGTATTAGAAGCGTTCGTCGACTTGTCCACCTATTTACTGACCGAGATCATCAGCAGTTGAGGGCTGCTGAATGCACCCATGGCCACGATCACCTCCTTGGTGGCGTTGACCGTGATGAATTGACCAGTTGGCTGATCCGTGAAGGAGACGCCTGTCGCGCGTGATGTCCCATTGCTGCCTTTGGTGAACTGGAGCGAGGTCACCGACGCGTAATGAAGGACATCCAGATTCGTGCGATTCTGGACCGGTTTATAAAAGGCGTCATAGCTTGAGCTGCGCCTGAGCCGGCGATCGAAACATCCAGTGCCTTGCTTGACACCCGTGTTGTTGCCGTTGTTGAGTTCGTTGACAATGGGAATACCTATGGCTTCACCAGCCCGAATAAAGCCCACATTGGAATCCGGCACGTATCCCTGGAACGCTATCTGAAGCTCGCCATTGGAGTATGCGGTAGGGTCCCAGGTCTGAAAGCTGTGATCGAAACCGTCGTTGAGGTTCGGCGGGTTGAAGTGGGTTTGCTGTGACGGTCAGCCGTCTGGTCCGGGCGGAAGACCGCTATACCAACTAACCTTGATGCTCAAAGGATACAAATCATCCCAGCCCCAGCCCTGGTTGCCTAGCTGGACCCAGTGGTCATAAACGCTGGCGCTGCCTCTTCCATAATACAAGCCATTGATTACCGAACTGCCACCAAGTCCTCGCCCTCCTGTGAAGCACGAAGTCAGCTCATCCGAGACTCAAAAGCCACGGGGTCACTCACGGTGATAGGGGAGAATTCGGTTGTTGAGGTTCTTCTGCGGCAAAGTGTAGTAGTTGTAGTCAATCGCGGTACCTGAGGTAGTGAGTAGCATGTTCGGTGAATCTTCAGAGCTGCAAGCCATTACCAGCAAGGTTTTGATTGCCACCAGGGTACATGTAATTTGCAACAACACCAGGTTCCGGCCCTGCTTCAAGCACAAGCACTCTTGTATTGGGGCATTCCGTCAACCGGTTTGCAATAACAAGACCCGCCGTGCCACCTGTCTTGGGTGAGTATAACACGCCGTGCCACAGTGCATGGTGGCTTACCTCCAGCGATGATGAAGTCGTATGTGTCTTGTATGGTCTGTCTCTTGATTTTGTCGATGGGCTTTGCGCAGGCTGCACCTGCCAGAGTGAGGGTGATGAGCGTTGAGAGATACATGGCACTGGCTTGACAATTGGAAACGAATCGGGGAGGGACAAGTGCAGAAGCCAGTCTCCCAATTCCCACTGTATATATGTCCCCAGACAGTGCTCAATGACATCTTCACTCACCGCTGCAGCCAGGCACAGCCCATCTGGTCACGGCTTGATTGATTGCCCATAACGATACATGGGACCTTAGGTCATAAGCACCCTGTGCTATCCATCCCAAAGTATGGCACGATTGGCTGTCATCTGCTTGTCTGGATAGAAAGCTGAGGACATTCTGTCGATCGTGCTGCCTTACAAGGCAGTGTCAAAGCATAATAGGCGTAGGATTTTTGAGTATTCGCTGAACATGTCATATTATTATGCCAAGGAAGTCTTCCTCTGACGCAGAAGCCTGACACAAGTGTGAGCCAAAAGGATTGCTTACCTATGCAGATCAGTGCCTTTACCGGTTGGATTCCACTCACGGCTACTTCCTATTGCATGGGCCGAGATCTTCCCATGGCATTGGGCTTCGTTGTTACCTTCTGTCTGTCGTATATCTGCATTTTCAAACGTTAGATTTAACTCCAGCTAGGTTACAATAAGGCCCCAACCTACCAAGCCTCGTTTAATAAGGCGTTCCAAGGCCTTCTGAAACCACATATTCGCCCGAAACCGTGGATGATTGCTCGCTAGGACTGAGCTCTCAAAAGGAATCCGGTACCCACTTCATCCTTCTCACTCCCCGATTCGGGTATATCACGGCCGACGGCCAACCACTCTCATGGTCCATTCCCAAGATCTGGGGTACTGCTCCACTCCCCAATCAAGGCCATGAAAGTATGAGAAAGCATTTCATATCCAGTTCTGGGTAATCAGATATCCAATGTTGTCTGCCATGTCGATTCCTTTGAAGTATCGCACCCATGCCTAGATGATCCATAGCAGCCATCCAGGCGCCCTACCTTGCCAGAGCAATATGATGGTGGGATCCGTGACTTGCACCACCACTCGGCCAATCCTCGACAGGATTGCTGACCTGCACTCAATCACAACAGAATCTAATGGCTTGTCGCCCGCCCTCGCTCACCGTCTGTTTGGCGGCCTGCTCTCGGCGAAGACGCTGAATCTTGGGCTTTTGTAGGCAGTCCTAAGGCGTTCCAGGAATAATTGTTTAGGTGATGCCAATCAAATTGTATGGATCTGTGGATACAAACCTTCGCTCCGCATGCCTCCTCAAAACCTGACTACTGATTATGGCGATGCAGTCGGAAACAAAGATTCGGTCCTAGAACAATATCAAGACTCGGAAGCTGCCGACGCTAACCCAAGCCACGGGACTCACAGCTGAGGTGGGCAACTTGACTCCGCACGACCATTTCGGCTGCCTAGTTTTCGACTACAAACATGATATTCGAATCCAAACCTTGGACCTCAGCTTGGCTCATTCGAGCAACTCTGATCGACGTAAGCCGAGAGCTTGGCCTGCTGTGCCATTAATACCGCTTTCCAAGGGGCCGATCTCCGAAACGTGAGCAACTATGGGCACATTGCAGACAGAGCCTCCACGTGTAAATGAGCCATATGAGTTGTGAGTGCGTTTTCAGGGCAGAAAAAGGATACATACCGCGCACGCGTTCTGGGACCGGCTCGAATTCGATGTTGACCGCGTCATTGTATGACTCGATGGAAGCGAGACATGGGCTGTCTTGCTGTCGCCTGGCGGTGCAAGTGTTCCATATATGCCGTCCTCGAAAGAAGGTGATATTCCCTGTCTCGGATCTCCACAAAACACCTCCAACAATGTGGCTCAGACGTACCTACGTCTGTATGGGAAGGCTCCACGACACAAAAGCGGCCAGACTGGATGAAGTATTGTTCAGATTGCAGCAATCCCATCGTAGAAACATGTCCTCCTATTTAGGATTTTAAGCGGCTCAGGCCACCCATGTGGCGAGACAGTGGGAGCTGTCAGCAGCCGAAATGTAAGCCACTCTTCTTGAAACCAACTTGATGCAAAGAACGCGGTGATCTCAATTTATCGAATGTTTAGGGCCTCAAACTGAATATCAAGGTCTCAGTTAGTCGCCACAAATGTCTGTTGCTAAATATGTTGAGGAGCTGGGATCGATCCTGAGTTCCGAAGAAACCATTCTCCCATCTTCGGATCTGTACAGGACCCAGTCTTTGCCGTGGGCGGCCCAGACAGACCTTAAACCTGCAGTGGTCATTCGTCCTACGAGCATCGAATCGTTGAGCAAGGCCTTGGCATATCTTTCGACGACAGACTTGAGCCTCGGCATTCGAAGCCAAGGTGTTGGCTCAGCTTCAGCAAAGGATATCCCGATAAGTATGACAACATTTGATGAAGTCGACTTTGACCGGCAGAATGAAATTGTGACGGTCGGCGCCAATACTATGAGAAGATCGACAAAATTGGCCCCGGTTATGCAAGCCAGTTGTCCAATTGAGGGCCACCTGAAGGCCCATTTCTCTAGTCGGAAATATCATGTATGCAAGAAGAAATCCTGACGTTATTGGCAGCCGTATCGATTCGTACGCCCTGCGTTGGCGTGGGTGGCAGCATCCTAGGTGGTGGATATTCCTAGCTCTCCTCGGAATTTGGGTTGACATCAGACCGGGCCAATATGCTTGATGCGCAGGTTGTCAAAGTTGATGGGACTGTTCTCTGGGCGTCCGAAGACCCAGAACTGCTCTGGGGAATAAGAACGACAAATGGTGCATTTGGCGGTAGGTGCCTGCCGCAACCATCTTCTAATGCTGACTCTTGGTTAGTGATCACTCGCTTCAAACTTCGAGCTCGCAAGTATCAAGCCGAGGTCTGGGGTGGAAACATCCTAATCCCGAAGACAGAGCTTCGAGCTGTTGTCAGAGGCATTGCTGCGATGGTCGCAAGGCCTCTAAATCCTAAGGTTGCCTTCTATCTCTTTGTAATGAAAAATAAGCAGTTGACGCATATGGGAGCCAAAGAAAATATGTTAATGGTCCATGCATTTGCCGCGCTTGGTGAGACACACGGCAGAAGTGGCGATGGCTTTAAATGGGCCCTAGATTGTCCGGGGGCAGTTGACACTACTAAGGTAGTGAGTCTGTCGTGTATGGCCAAACTACAAGGTAAGACCCATTCATGATGGTGCTTTGATCATGGAATGACGATCTATCCTGACAATGTTGGTAAAGCCAAGGGCGCCGCAAACGTTTGGTGGGCGTCAATAGCATTAAGCAGATTGGATGAGGCGACACTCCTTCGAGCATTTGACTGGTATGATGATGCTGCAGCTTCGCCTGGAGCAGTGGGGAAGCGGGCTTCGTTATTGTTCGGGTTTTTCACCACTGTATTCTGCCCTTGCCAATCAGTGCTGCAAATCTTCTGACACAAGGACGAACAGCGAGACTCTGACGTCGAATACCGATTCCGCTTGGCCACGTCCTCGAGGGTTCCAGCACAAGATAACGCTCCGCGCCGGGACGGATATCGGGGCGTGCCTTGAGGATCGAGGTGGCAAAGATGTTGGTGAAAGACGGTCCAGCGCAGATAGTAAGCACCTCTAGGCCGGTTCAAATAGTGCGAATGTAATGGGAGATTTCCATGATCCTATCGCCCAGGTGAGACTATCCAGACAGCCATCCACAACTTTCTGACGACATAATCACAGGTATACCGAGAACATTATCCGAGGCTCCAAGAACTGAAGAAAAGATATGATCCTGACAACAGACTCGGAGGACCTACCAGATATCTGTGCTCGTAGCAGAACGAGCGGTCTCTCTGGAATCATGGGCTCAGTCGGGTAGTTTTGGAATTTCGCGCCCTTCGCCTCAGAGGCATCTTCCTATTATTGAAAGAATGGCTCTTCAACAGCACGAAACCATTCAGGTGGGCCACGGAGTGGCTCAGCCAGTTCGGTGTCTTTGATCAAGGGTGGAATTGGATACTTTTTATCAAGCCTTGAGACAACCCAATCAATGGCGGCTATCTCATCAGAAGGCAAGTCAAACTGGTTCTCTCGTGGCTCTTCGCCGTAATGGATATTCACAGGCTCTTCCTCGTTGTCGTCCTGGGATCTGTTAAAGATACCCTGGTAGCCATCGTGGCGGATGCTTCTGTAGTATGCGTCGTAGGTCGTGAGTGCATAGCGAGACTCGCTGCATGCAAGATTATCGAGCTGATAATCGGCTCTGGTGTACCTCTTGCCGTGAAGGAAGCTAAGAGCACCGTCCATACCGTCCACGAAATTGATACCAGGATTATGATGATCGTCAGGGTGATGATTAAAAATGTCGATATCCCTTAGATCTGCGTTGGGAAAGCCTGCCATTTCGGCCTCAGCCAACGCTGCAGGAAAACTATTCAATCTTTCGCCGTGCCAGCCTAGGGGCACATTAAAATCTGGCGCGAACGCGTCGGGAATTGTCTCCAGCGAACCGGTTTCAACGTAGTGCAAGATTCTCACATCCATTTCGTAGTTGAACTTGCGTTCGACCTTGATGGTCCGATAATGGTTCTCATTTCGAATGCTCAATTTTCCCGACTTTGTGGAACGCGCTATTATCCGCCGTAGAGCTTCCAGTTGCCAGCGGAAACAACTTAGCCGGGCTTAAGCCTTGCTGCCCAAACCAAGAAAGCTGGTTCCGTTCTTGGCAGAGATAAAGGATCAATCGAAAACAGGACGTAGAGGGCTGGGACAAAAGAGCCCCTCCTCTTGAAGATCCGGTGCTCCAACATCACATCAGCCGCCGCGGCAGCCCTGTACAGCCGAGGGGAGACCTTGAAGGGCTGATCCTCAGGACGAAAGAAATAATCGATGGCAAGTGTCTCGCGTAACCATTGTGAATTGCGAGTCGCCCATACTGCGCGATTCTCTAGGAGCTCCCAGACATCCAGCGAGGACGGTGTTGGCTTCCTCCCCTCGATGTTAAGTCCGGTGTAGTATTCGATGACGCGAAGAAAAGGTGTATTGTCGGGCAGATCCGGCAAACGATTCTGCATCTTCTCTTTACCAATAGTCAGCACGCCGAATATTCGCATCTGACACTGAATGACGAGCTCGTATTGCCAATCAGAAAGAAACCGGTATGAGCCAGGAGCAGCGTGGTCGTTGTCGTTGAATCGACTTTCATTGACTTCGCTACGCCGTCTTAGGCGAACGTCCCACATGGTTGTTTCGACGTGCCATGACCGTCCTTCGTTATCTCTGGCCCACCAACAATGTCCGTTCAGACTTTCGAGGTCGGTCTTGCCTTGTATAAACTCTTGTATGGCAGCTCCTGCACGCCTTGGCTGAGCAACTTTGAGCAGCTGCCCAACAACGTATCTCAGATTTGCTGCCAGCCATAGTTTGACTTGGCCCCACGTACACCAGCGACTTGTCAATATCGCCTTTGTCATGTTTCGAATGTCCCAGCTTGAGAGGGGAAGTTCAAGCCTGGGGATAAGGAAGTGCAACTTGTGAATGTCGAACTGTCCATCAACGTCGTGGCTGAAGAAAGCTAGAATGAACGCAGCATGGTATAAGGCCTTTCATTCCTGATAACTTGACAGCAATCAAGGGCGATGCGATAAGTAGATTCCCGTTCATGGAAGCAAGAAAGATCTGTTGCAAAAGCTCGGCAGGTAGAGTCTCCAGATAGCAAGGCTCAGGGAGACGAACCTGTTTGCCGCCTGCCAACTTCCGCTGTTTAGATGCATGGCGATCGAGGCTGCGCAATGTTGATGTTGTTTCAGAGTAGACTGAACCATTGCGAGTTCGCTTCAGAGTCTCTGTCTATCTGGTAGTCATTGTCTGTTTAGTGGAGCTGTACGAGGAATCGAGCCGCAATAATGTATCCAAGATGATGCGGGTTGGAAAATGGGGCGGGCAAGGATACAACGGGGTGAGTGGGCTCTTGAACGCCAAAGCGTGGCATCACGTGCTATAGAATTTCACCAACCAAGCCAATCGCACTCTCTGACGACGCTTTGCAACGTTGGCGACTTCTGTAACAGCATGATGCTCGATTCCCAATTGCCGAAAAGCTCCACAATACCTCTCCCATCCTCTTCGTCTCCTTGCAAAAAAGGACGGTGTGCAGAGCGCGGCTCAAGAACAGGGGGTATCGGCAAGAAGAAGTGACCTGAAGATGACGGAAAAGGGGGGTTTGAATCAGCGGTCCCCGATGCCATTTTCAGATAGGAGACTCTTTGTATTGCGGAATACTCGGCAGACTGTCAAGACAGATCCCGGAAAGAAAAGTTGCACCGCTTTGTTGTTAGTTACAAAGCACCAGTTACCTCGTAGAAGCTTTGTAATAGGTACTTGGGCGCCTGTGGGTGACCCGTGTGAAGGGGGTCTGGCTAAGTGAATTAGGCCTAGCCAGCTCTCCGGCTGGGATTCAGGGTCCAACTCAGCCGCCTCGCCCTACTGGCCCTATTCGCCTAAGCCCCCAATCGGCAGGGCTCCCTGTCCAACACTTGGTACGGATGAGGGAATCTTTTGTGACCTCCGCAAATCCTAACAGAATGGTGCAATTCTCTTACCACTCTTATCAACAACGTACATTGGTGAATCCGACGATAACGTTGCAGGCGAACGTCGACACCGCTAGAGAGGCCGCTTCCTATCAGGGGCGCACGAGCAGTCCCACTGCACCCAACAGCGCCACGTATTGATTGCCAGACCAACTGCGCCTTGATTCTGTCCTCCCCCCACCGCAGACCACTGACCAAATCCGGTGACCTTTTATACTCCTGCCTTCTCCCAACCGCATGGATGACACCGTCCGACAGCAGCGACTCGTCCGGGGGAGATCTCATATACACGCCTCCTGGAACTGAGTCGCCTCTGCCTCTCTCCTCCGCCTCCGCCTCGGCCGCGCCCTCCAAAGCCGGGGTCCGTCCTGCAAGCCCCTTACGTCTAACCTCCCTCCCACCAGCTATAAAAGACGAATTCCGGGCCGATCGACAGCACATTCGAGGAGTACATTTCAATCTGAATGACGAACCCGTGGACGACGAAGAAGACGACGACGACGACATGGTTGGGAGAACGTCAATGCACAGGCCGACGGGGCCGGAATCCCATGAGCCGTTGTTAGGAGAGGATAAACAAGCAAGTAACAGAGGCCGACCAGAGTCATCCAGTCTTCATGGCTCAGCCAGACCAGCAGTCTCGTCCCGGAGGAGCACCTTCCGCTCACGATCACCCTCATACACCCAGCCCGAGGACATGGTACGGCGAAAATACATCTACGCCTCCTTCTTCCTCATCCTCTCCCTCATCTCGTTTGTCGTACAGACGGAAACTGCGGTATATATCCAACACGAACTGAAATGGAACAAGGCATATTGCATGATGTACTTAACACATGGTTCTTGGATATTCCTCTGGCCGATCCAACTTCTTTTTCTCCGAATTCAGAAACAAAAACTCTCTTGGCCTGCATTCTGGCGAAGACATGTTTATCTCCTCCGTTCTACGGCGCAAATGGTCCGCTCTCAAGAACTGCATCTCTCCAAGTCCACCATCTTGATCTCCCCTTGGCCATACATGGTCAAAGCCACCGCTTTCATCACCACGTTTTTGACCATGGCTGGAGGATCATGGTATGTTGCTGTCAATTTAACCTCGCCGTCCGACCTCACCGCAATCTACAATTGCTCTGCCTTCTTCGCCTACGTCTTTTCCATCATGCTTCTCAACGACAAACTCCGCTTTGACAAGGCTCTCTCGGTCGCACTCGCCATAATTGGCGTCCTCGTAGTTGCGTATGGGGACAAAGATGATACAAACCCGGGTCCGGAAACATCAAATCCTGGTGCTGAAAAGGGATTCGGCACGAAACTTTTGGGAAACATTATAATTGGCATCGGCTCGGTGGCATATGGGTTTTACGAAGTTCTTTATAAACGTTTCGCCTGTCCTCCTGAGGGCACTTCTCCGGGAAGGGGGATGATTTTCGCAAACACATTTGGCAGCATGGTTGGATTTTTCACATTGACAGTTCTCTGGATCCCTCTCCCCATCCTACATTGGACCGGTCTGGAGAAATTTGAGATTCCCAGTGGCCAAGCGGCCAGCTTACTGGCCATCTCCACCCTTTCCAACGCCGTCTTTTCCGGCTCCTTCCTCGTCCTCATGTCCCTCACCTCTCCGGTCTTGAGCTCCGTTGCCGCACTTCTCACGATCTTTTTAGTGGGCATGACCGATTGGATCATCACCGGGAAGCCACTCAGTGCGGCGGCGCTCGCTGGCTGCGCCTTGATTATCGTGGCGTTTGTGATGTTAAGTTGGGCGACATATCGGGAGATGAGAGAAGAGCAACGAAAAAGGGAGGAAGAGGAAGAGGACAAAGTCTTCGACGAGGAGGAGGAGGAGGACGAAGCTGATGAACAGCGAGTGGCAAGTAATAGAAGGAGGGCCAGCTGATTCAGCTTTGATTGAGTTCGGACAAGTCTAACCCTTGTATTCGCGAGGACCAGTGATTTTTGATGATGTTTGGCGGGTGACATCCTGCACGGCGCAGAGCGGAAAGTTTTGAAACGAGCCAACATTGAATGCCACGGGGCCATGAGACATTGCATTTCTGGATGGAGGACGTTTAAGCGTCCCAGGCTGGGCAGGGGCGAGATTTCATGCTCCATGTTGAGTGCAACTGTACATGGAGGTTCTTTGAATTTATTTGCATCTAGAGGCGTTTGAGGCTACTGTATACAGGTCAACTTACAAATCCATTGCACGCTCAGCACAGACGAGCAAGCCGGAGGTCATATACCCCGAGTAGGAGGGTCTCTCCTGAGAATGCGGACATTCAAGTCCGAACATGAATTATCTATCTACTAGCATCTCAATATCGTTTCTCATGAATCCGCGAACAAAGGAGTTCAGACATCTCATGTGAAGAATAATCTCTTCTGTCTCCTCCCGCCAGCCACGTCCGGCCCTGCTAGGTTAGTGGACGAGACTTTTCTCTTAGCCTTCATCCCGTTGGCGGACCTCGGCCTATCTGGCACAGCTGCGTCGGGTGATGCTCTGCTAGGGCTTGCGAGTGTAGATCCGTTCGCCTCGGCAACGACTTCTTTGATCGTCCGTCGCGAAAGACATAGATCAATGTGGCCGTTAAACTCCCTGTCATTCGCTGGCTGCGGAAGTTGACAAATTGGACAGTCCCATACCGCTTCTTGCTTCTGCTCATCTTTCAAGCCCGATGAAGCAGCTTTATTCAGCACTCGTCCATGCTTGGTTGGAGGTGATGCTACCGGCGAGTTTGGCTCGCTGCCAAACTTATACCTGCCAAAGGGTTCATGCCAGTCTGCCGTGGAAATAGAGGCATCTGGCACTGGTGTGTGCGTATCCCGGTCTCGGGCTTGTTCATGCTGCTGTTCTTGACTCAGGCGCTCCAGCTCCTCGATCTCCTCCTGTCTCTCCTGGCGCGCAGCTTCTTCGAACTCTGAGTCAGGCCACACTTCCCACTCTGCATCATCTGCTGACTTTCCTGTCAAGGAGTGGTCGTTGCTGGGTTTTCGGCGGAAGAAGTCGGTACTCCCCTTTTTCGTGCTGACCAGATGGGTGCATCGTAGTCCCATCAAGCGGAGCCGGAAGTCCGGGATCTCCTTTTCGAGCTTAGCCAACATCGGGAGGCTGTAATTGTAGAGATCGTCTGCCAGGTGGACTGCCTTTGGAGTAGCAACTTGTCGCGTGAAGACTTCGTAGGTGTGAAGTTTGACCTTCAAGACCAGGGTCCGGCCTTTGACCTCGACTCGAATCATATCTTTTGCCAGTTCCTCGGCTGTGTGGCGAAGCTTCTCGCGAAGTTCTTGTTTATTGCTGATATCGCGGAACGTGCTTTCTGTTCCTACACTCTTTCGTTCATATTCCTCAGCAGGCTGTACAATTGTGCGCCCAAGACCGAGGTAGGTGTGCATCAGGAACTGGAATGCCTTCTCGCCGAACAGCTTGTAAAGGTATGCCCGCTGAAGATAGATGTCGCCACATGTTTTAATGCCAATAGCGTCGAGCTCTCGCTCAAAGACACGACCGACGCCGTTGACCTTACGCACCGGCAGTGTGGCCATGAACGACATTATGGCAGCCCGATCATTGGGAATTCGAAATTGCCCATTTGGTTTGTTCTTATTAGAACAGATCTTGGCCAATTTGGCATTGGGCGCAATACCGGCGGAGATTGTGATCATGCACTTCTCGTGGACTTCCTTTCTGAGTTGTTCAACTGCGGCCTCCGGGTCTAGCCGGTGAGTATTGCAGTACCCTGTAATGTTCATGTAGGCTTCATCGATGCTAGAACTCTCGAAACGTGGATCATACTCTGCCAGGATAGCCCTCACTTCTTTTGCCTTGGCTGTGTATTTGTCAAAGTTCAATGGTAGACAGACCAGCTGAGGGCAGAGTTTCTTCGCCACAAATGCTGCCATGGCACTACGACAACCGTATTTCCGAGCCTCATAGTTACAGGTGGTAAGGACTCCCATCCCCACGGCCATGGGCACAGTCTTGAGTTCAGGTCGATCAATTTCTTCCACGGCGGCATAGAAGGCATCGCAATCAATGTGGACGACATACTGTGACAGGTCTCTTGCCAGCTCGAGGGACGCAATGTAGTCATCTGCCCGGCGCAAGTCCATCTTGAGGTCAAGCTTCTCCAGTTGTGCCTTCTTTTTGAGAATCCGCTCAATCTTCACCGTCAAATTCCTGTCCTTGACTTCCTCATTGTTGAAGAACTTCGAGCCCTTGGAGGCCTCGTAGATGATTTCGGAGACCTTCTTCTGATCGACCGCATCTTGCCCGGCCTTGGTCAAAGAAGGACCGAGAAGATGGTGCTTCAGGGAATGGTGTTGAGATGCCTGGTCGAAGGCTGCCTGGGCCTGGGCCCGTGGTGTCGGGCCTTGATTATCTGCGGTATTGGCTGTGTCCGGGTTGACACTTATAAGGGGGCTATCATTCCCATCATGCAATGTCATCGCAACATAGTAGAGATTGCATCGGGTGGCATATCGTGTATTGATGGATCCAACAGTGGCTCTCTGGTTAGCGAGGAGCCAATATGTACCACTATGACGCGACAGGGCAGGGGCGCGATGGAGCGTGATGGTGGACGTGTTTAGCGAGACAGTCACCAGTGTCACCTGCGCTTTGTAACGAAACCAAAAACCCCAAACTAAACCCTTTGCGGTCTTCTGCTGGAGCGTGCCGTTGGAATCTCAAAACAGCTTGTTGACATTCATGTCGATAGACCGCCCTCACTCAATGTCTACACACCCAGAGAGCCTCCCCGCTCACGTGAAGCGATGATAATGATCTCTCTCCGGCCTCGAATATTCATCCATCGCTGTCATGCGAGAGCGAGAGCGCCAGCAGCCACAGTCAATCCCCCGTTCTCGACGTTCGCCCCTCCCGACAACGATGCCCACCGATAAACAAACCCGCCCAAACACATCGAAACCACTCACTCCCGCCCTCAGCGCAAATTTCCGCACGGCTAAAAGCCCATTGACCCCGAGACTGGTCGGCTCTGCTTCTTCCTCCCCGAATTTGTCCTCTCGAAGGGACCCTTTCGTCAGGTCCAAATCACCTCCCAAACCCGATCAGACCACAACCCCCCTAAATGGAAATATCACTCCTCGGTCTGGGGCGAGGAAGTCACGGGTCGGTACCGAGTCGCCGTTGCCTTCGGTGCAACCGAAAGGAACCAACAATGGCCAAAGGTCAAGAGCGTCGTCGGGCAATGAGGCATCGAAACCCACTGGAGGTGCAATGCGAGGTCTCGGCATTACGAGCCCACGGCTTGCTGCAAGTACAGGTGCTCTGCCAAAAGTAAACACGTCAGGCTCCGCGCCTGCTACGACAACCAATCGAAGGTTGTCCGCGGCAAAGAGCATGGTAGAGGGCGACAAAGATATCTCGTCAAAGTTCTTCCACGCCGACGAGGTCAAGCCCGTCGTCGGGTCCCCGGAGGCGGAAGAGGGCCACCGATTCCCTCCAAAGCCAGGGCACTTCTTTGTCGGGTCACCCCCGCTACCTAGGGAAAGTGCAGGTGGAAAGGAAAGCCTCGATGATAAATTCTTCAGGGCGAACGATCTACCGCAGCATGCACCAGCCAGACGCAACGTCCTTCCACACATCTCGACAGAGAAGTTGAATAATTCGACCATTACTACAGCCACGCACGGCTTTCGAAATACTCCGCCTCAATCGCCAAACAAATTCCACAGAGGAGCCCTTACAGAACCTACGTCACCCCGAAAATTACAACCCGGCCAAGCATCTTCTCCGCCAGGACCTCGAACGAACGCTGAACGCCCGAAGAGCAGCTCGGGCAGTATCGCAACACCTCATCCTGCTGCAAAAGGCCATCGAAAATCAATCAGTGCGAGCTCCATAAGTTCGGCGGCACCCAGGAAGCTGAGCAATCCCAGAGTACAACCGCCACAACCACTAGATCTCCACCCTGCTTCCGCATTGTCACCCCGGATCCAAGGGAGTAATCTTCTGTCTCCGGAAACATTGAGTCCCAGGTCTATCAGCCTTGCTTCTACCAACACTGTCCCCACCTCCGTCCCAAGCGACACGGATTTTTCAGAACCGACAAAAGCGCCCAGCGTGTCGGCGCCGGGTACAGACCCAAGAGGAGACCAAGCAGCGGCCATCTTCCAGTCTCAGTTGGATGAAGCTGCCAACGCTCGCCGGGAACGCAAAGTTCTCGACTTGGAAATCTCGAACTCATCGTTGCTGGCGATCAATAAAACCCTAGAGCGTGAACTCCGCAAACAGACCGGAGAGTTAAGGAGGTACCGTCGCCTATCACGTTCGGGCAGATTATCGCTTGCAACAACAACAAGGACGGCCTCTGAGCAGTCTAACTTCACTCTCGGCACGGTCACGGAGTTTGATGGTGAAGATCGCCAATTTTCAGACGACGATGACAGTGATCTAGACGACCTCGAGGATGAAGATGACTCTATGCTATCCACCGAGTCAGGCTCCATGTTAAGTCCATCTATCCAATCACGCCAGCGCGCAAGAGACGAGAAACGACTGATGCTAGACCTTTCTCGCCATCAGCAACTTCTTGTCGATTTCCAGAAACTCAGCCAAAGCATAAAACGATGTCTCACCTGTACCGAAGAGCTAATTCGAGACGGGAACAAGGCCTTAGATTATAGAGTGGGTATAGGGGATGTGAAGCTAGGAGGGAGAGTTTTGAACGATGATGAACTCGATGAAAGGGGGCTGGCGAATGGAGTGGAAGAACAGGAGGCGAGACAAGGTCTGTTAAGCCCCAGCATTACCAAGGCGAACTTAGACGAGGCTCAACTGTGGGGGGCCGGCCCGGCTCCTACGATAATTGCCAGCGAAGTCATAGGGATGCCTTCACTGGACGAGTTGTCCGATATATTGGATTCTGTCAGCATGCAATTGGAGGAGACCTAGATTGGCGTCTTGAAACCTTTGGAGTGGATTCGCGGAAGACCAAGTCTCTTCCTTTACGACATAATGACGCAGATTGCATTGGAAGCCGGATTACGTTGAAGAGATTGCTGCTTCCTTTTGTTCATGGCGGGAGTTCGGTTGGTGGTGGTGGCATGGATAAGATGTGGAATTCGTGGCCTGTCTCCTACAGTGTATAAAATGATACCCCCCTTGTCGTCGCCGAGTTTTGCTTTGTTTTTACTGGTGCGCAAAGAAAGAGAGTGAGTGAGTGAGTGAGAAGCCTTGCATACACAATGAAAAGTTGATTCTGTAGGGAGGACCCTGGCCGCGAGCCATAGTGGTCAATTACAGAAAGGTGAACGCTGAATAGAAGGAGACTTATCAAGCAGTCAATAAACATAGGTACAGAAACAGAAGGGACCCATAAAATCCCACATAGAGAGGAAGGAAAGCTTCGTTTGGTATCTATCTATTCTGGCAATCAAGCCCGCGATGGTCGAATGCGCGACCGGCAGCTCGACGGCTCAGCTCGACGGCTCGCTCGCTCTCCCCTTGATTCTATCCTGTCCTATCCGATCCGATCCAAGCATTCCGTCACGTTCACGATCCGAACCCCTAGGCACGGTGATTACCTTAGCATAGCAGTAGCAGCAGTAGCAATAGTAGTGTAAGTAGAGAAGCCCTCATTGCAATGCATTCATACTCTGAGGGTGTAGCCATCCGAGCAAGAAGTAACATTCCACATGACAGATCGTGTCCAGCCGAGTGGCAGGCCAACAAGAGTCGAACAGGCCCCAGCTTCGTGCAATCCCCTCGTTATCCAGTAACCTTGACCCGACTGTGGTCAAGCTCACGTCGACGCCGGCTGTTTCGGTGACGCCTCCCGGTTGCCTCCAAAGAAGTGTCTATGTTGCTGATCGTTGGGGTGGCTTTCTTTCGCTTTCTCTTTCTCCTTTTTCTTTTCTTGCTTCTTCATGGATTCGGCCATTAGCTGCTCAAAGGCCATGAAGTCGCCCTCCTCATCCGGGTCGCGTTCCGCCTGCATGACCACGACGTTAGCATCGATAGTATACAGACAATTTGAAACCTGGATAAGTGCCACCTCAAGCAGAGAAGAACTCTTACCTTTTGGTAGATGGTTCCACACAGGACCAGGGCATGTGCTCTTTCTATCCTCTTCTCTATTCTGACGTTCTTATCGTTCAGAATCCTGTCGCACACATCCCTCAACACACCCTGAATCTCAAACCTGGAGCCCCTCCATGCAGCCGCAAGAATCTTGCCTGTGACTTTCCTCTCATACTCTGCTTTCTTCTCGTCAGTCCAATCGGCCCCGCCCTTTTCTTCCAATTTGGCCATTTCTTCCATTGTTAGTTGGGCGTCAATGGCTGAAGAGATCGTGTTCCATGTGTCTTTTGCGAGAGTGCCCTTGTCTTTTAGGCGGGCGAAGAATCCTGAGATGCCCAGGAATCTCTGGGATTTGAGGAAAGAAGTTGCCTTTTGCATGTATGTCTGTCCAACGGCATGAAGGATTTCAATGCCAAAGGATTCCATCTTGAGATTTTCAACTTCGAGTCTTATCTTTTCCTGGAATGCATTCGTGACTTCGGGGCCCTTGTCTGTTTCTGTCCATACGCTGATACGATCAATCAGCTTCTTTGCGAGGGTCTCGACTCGTTCTTCTCGCAGACGCCGTCTCTCGCGCTCGTAAGCTTCCAACTTCTCCCGTTGCTCCTTGGTCAGGCCGCCGCGTTTTTTCTTCTTCTGCAAATCTTTCTCTTCTTGGGTCAGGCCTGCGGCGTCCATTCGCGCATCTTCTTCTGATCGATCCATAATGGCTTGCTGACCGGCGTATCTTCTCTGCGGGGTGCTAGTCCCAGATGATCTGGCAGTGGACGTCGATGGCTCATCCCCGTCCAGTCCGGGGAAGTACGGTGGAGGTGCTGGTCCCTCGTGCGCGGAGTCATCTCTTGCTTCGGTTTCCTTTGAGCTCATGCCTGCAGTGGTCGCCTGTTTTTCCTTTGCATCATGAACGTTTAACTTCTCTTCCGCAGTTTTAGAAAGCTCTTCTTCCTCCATGGCCTGCATTGTGATGTCCATGGTATGTGTGAGATCTTTCAGGAGAGACAATTCGCCGATGAGATCGACAAAAGCATCACCACCAAAGATCATGCTGAAAAACTCGGCAGGATCCTCGAACCCTTGGCTGGGCATGGCCTTTTCTTTGCCATACTTATCGTAAGCGGCTCGGGTCTCTTTGTTCGAGAGGACCTGATAAGCTTCGCCGACGGCTTGAAACCGAGCGTGCGCAGTTTCATCGCCGGGGTTCTTGTCAGGATGTGTGGTGATGGCGAGCTTTCTGTAGGCTTTTTTGATTTCCAGTTCGGAGGCATCTGGTTTAACACCTAGAGCGTCATAGTATGAAGTGTCAACGACCATCGTAGCAGGCGTAAATTCGGGTAGGATGGATATGATTTCTGGCTGACACACAGGTTGGCATGGAACGGAGACGTGTACAGGTTATATAGCGGCCTTTGGGCTCGTAAAGGCCGCCGCACCCGTTGGTCACCGCAAGCACGAAACTCAGCAAAAGGGGTGAAGTCATAGTCTGAGAGATGCCTGTAGCTGAGCCACTTGGGTGCCACTGTGGCTGACACGCAGCTAGCGAGCCTTCGAGCCGGGTTTTGGGGGCGCCCTTTGGTGGGCTCACCAGGCCCACGAAACATCCCTAGAGCCGATTCGGCATCGCTTTCTTTCTAACAAATGCGTCCTCGGGTCAAGGATCGTGCCATTCGGATATGCTAACCTCCACACACAAAAACATGATGGTCTAGTTCACCTCGAGCGCGGGTAGTTGACAAAACATCCCCGCCCCTTTTTCTTTTCTCGATCATGGTCGCTCGTTACCACTCAGTGTACGCCATCCGTCTGGAGTTCTTGACCGCTAGATAGGAGAGGAGGGAAGCTGTCTACAGAGTAACTCAAAAACTGCATTGGTTTGCACGTCAATCACAATGGTCAAAGCCAGCGAAGTTGTGTTTTACCTCTTCCACCCCCAGCAATTGCGCTCCATCATTCAATGGTAAGCCGAGAAAGAGGTTCATGTTGCGCACGAAGACTGACAAAAACTGACACCTTCTCAGGAAAGTCTGGCACAATCCAGTCCACGAACGAGATGAGTCCAAAGAAACTGAATCCGCGAAACAATGCTTCAAATACTTGAAAATGACCAGTCGTTCCTTCAGCGCCGTGATCCAAGAGTTGCATCCAGAGCTCTTGCTCCCTGTCACTCTGTTCTACCTGGTCCTACGTGGCCTGGATACTATCGAAGACGACACCTCGATCCCCGTCAAGAAGAAGGAGCCGGTGTTACGCAACTTCGACGAGGTTCTTGAAATTGATGGATGGACATATACTGAAAACCGGCCCGAAGAAAAGGACCGCGAACTGTTGCTCAATTACGGATGCGTGGTCGAAGAGTTCAAAAAGATCAGACCTGCCTATCAAGTTATCATCAAGGACATCGCGAAAAGAATGGGTAATGGAATGGCCGATTACTGCGCGAAATCTGAGAACAACGATTTTGCCGTGGTCACTTGCGCTGAGTATGACCAATATTGCTACTACGTGGCGGGATTGGTTGGTGAAGGATTGACGAGAATGTTTGTGGAAAGCAAATTCGGAAACCCGGTTCTGCTGGACAGGCCCAACCTCCACAATTCGATGGGGATTTTCCTGCAAAAGACCAACATCATCCGAGACGTGCGGGAAGATTTTGATGACCACAGAATCTTCTGGCCCAAGGAGATCTGGTCGAGACACGTCGACAAGTTCGAAGATCTCTTCAAGCCCGAATACAAGGAGCAGGCATTGAATTGTAGTGCAGAAATGGTGTTGAATGCGCTTAACCATGCTGACGAATGTATTTTCTACATGGCTGGGCTTAGGGAGCAGAGTGTGTTTAATTTTTGCGCGATTCCGCAGACCATGGCCATCGCGACGCTGGATCTCTGCTTCAGGAATTACTCAATGTTCCAGCGCAATATCAAAATCACAAAGGGCGAGGCTTGTCAGATCATGATCGAATCGACTCAAAACCTTCAGGTGGCTTGTGAAGTGTTCCGGCGACATATTCATTCCATCCGGAAGAAGAATCGGCCGCAAGACCCGAACTTTTTGAAGATCAGCATTGCATGCGGCAAGGTGGAGCAGTTCATTGAATCCATATTCCCGTCACAGAAGGTGGAGGATGTTCTGGCCAGGAACAAGGCCGACGAGGCGCGGGCGGAACTTGCAAAGAGGGAAAAGGAGGCCGGTTCGGCGGGAGCAAAGGACACGCTTGCGTTGTTGGGAGCCGTGGTCCTGATGTTGCTCTTCATCACGGCTACTATGGTGAGCAAGTCCTTATTCTGATGATCGCAGTCAGCGCTAATGTGCCACCAGGTTGGAGTTGCCTGGCTGATGGGTGCGCGATTCGACGTGGCCTTCGAAGAATTGAAGAAGTCCTGGGGCCAAATTTTGACCGGAGACGTCTTCAAAGGACCGAGTCAAAATGGCACCTCGACAGGCACGGATGGTCATAGCGAACTATGATTGTTTTTGTGATTCCTTGTTGCTCCGTGGTTTTTTGGCAGATCGTGTGTCGGATGATTGCTAATAGCACACAATCTGGTTGCGCACTGGCAATGGCGGTATTCCATGTTTTAGTTTCGAAGAAAAAGTCATATGCAACCCAAGACTGAGCTCACGAATTCAGACACAGGTTTTCGTTTTTCTCCTTGGAGGAGTTCCCTCTCCAGCACGGATGTCAAATTGCAACTCAGCCGCTCTCATTGACTGTTGTTGTGCCGAAGATGTGCTAAAATTGAATGAGATGGGCTCAAAACTGACAATTGACAAGCCCGAGACGAGCTTCTGTGAGGAGTCTTGTTACCTTTGAGCGTACATCTTTGTGGTTGTTTTTCTTTGGTGTTTGGAGCTTATTGCCATGTTACGCGCAA